TAGAGATAAAGCTAAATTTTTTTCAAATGAAAGCGCAGCAGAGGGGACAAGTGTAGATACTACGGTTAACCCTAGTACAGGTTCAAATCTAGTTCAACCAGGATTAACACTGTGACCGGTGGATTTTATATTACGATCCAAATAAGATCGTGAAGAATTAGCAAAGATGGTTACCGTTATGTGCTTACCCTATAGTTTTCCTTCTAACCCTCACTTTGTGCATTATATTAGAAGAGTTTTTTAATCCTACTTATAAAGGTTGGCCTCGCGCAACCGTAAAGAGCGATATTTATAAATATAAACATGAATATGAACAATATTTGCGGTATTTATTTACTCATATAAATTGTCGGATTGCTATTACTACTGATATTGGTAGAAGTAATAATGACTGTGATTATCTAACTGTTACAAGTCATTGGATAGATGAGGAGTGGATAATGCAAAAACGCATTATTGCTTATAGAATAATTAATTCACGTCACACAGGTAAGTTTATTGCTAACACTGTTGCAGATATTTGTAGAAATTTTTGCATTAGAGATAAAATAATGGCAATTTCTATGGATAATGCTTCCAGTAACACTAATGCTATAGGCTTGCTTACAACAACACTAAAACCTGCATTTAGCAATTGTTTCCATGTTAGATGTGTTTGTCATATTTACCATTTAATCGTCGGTGATGGTATGAGAATTTTAAATTTAGAAATTGAAAAGGTTAAAATGGCTCTTAATTGGCTTTTTTATTCAAACCGTAGAAGTAGACTTAGAGAGTATTTTAAAAAATGCGATGAATTTGTCCTTAGAGAAAGAAAGGTTCCTAAAGCTTGTCCGACTAGATGGAATTATATGTACGAAAGTTTAGTAGTTGCATATGAATATAGAAACCCAATTAATGCAACGTTTAATGCTCGTGTTGGTGGTGAGAATGATGATGAAATCCTTACAAATCAAGATTGGAATAATGTAAAAATTCTTATAGATTTTTTACACCAATTTCATCAAGCTACAAATGAATTGTCTGGGCAATATTATCCTACTATTTCAAACCGTTTAGTTTATATTGCAGCACTATGTGATTTGTTTGTTGATTTTTCAGAGGGTGGAAAAATTTATCAACTTGCTATAAATGTAATGAAAGAAAAGTTTAAAAATATTTTTTTCCCTATCCCCCCTATTTATGGTGTTGCTGCCATGTTAAATCCTACAATGAAATTAGGAGGTCCTCACTTTTGGTATTCAAATATTTATAAGGCTTTAGATCTTTCAAAAGAGGAATTTGCTACACTTGCAGATGCAAAAGCCTCAATTAAAATAAATGCTCAAACAATTTATAATGCTTATCAACAAGCCTTAGATAATGCTAGGCCAAATGTTCCAACTCCTACTTCGTCTAGTTCACAATCGTCTAAAAGACCTGCGGGCCTAAAAGCACTTAGTTCTTGGACGGAGTTTAGAGGTTCTCAAGGTGATAATATTGATGATACTTCACATCTAAATGAGCTTCAAGTTTATTTGTGCTCATTTGTTTGGCAACACTTTGAGGTGCTAGAAGAAAATGAAGAAGGTCAGAAATTAAAGTGCAAGAACTGTGGTCAAGTCTTAAATTTTCGTTCAGGGTCTGGCACATACAGTTTAAGGAGGCATATAAAGTATTGTCTTGAGCGTCATCCGGAAATTCGTATTTAAGATTTTTCGACAATTTGTGTTATTTTAAAATTATTAGAAGTATTTATGCTTAATGTTTTAGTTTGTTAGATTAATTTGAAGTATTATTAATTTATTATGCATGAAAATTTAGTTTTACTATTTTTTTGTTAATTTACTTTTTAAATGCAAACTTTAATATATATTATATATACTATATATATTTATATAGCTATATATAAGCAATTTATATTAGTATATACATATATAGTTTACAAGAAATTGCTTTAGATAAAAAAATTTAAAAAAAAGCCCGGAATGAAAAAGCCCGTTAGACCCGTTTAGGCCCGTGAGCCCGGCCCATTTCGCCCGGGACCATGTGGGCTTAGAACCGTTGTGGGCTGGTTCCACCCATTGGGACCGTGAAGCCCAGGACCGTTAGGCCCGGGACCGCCAAAGACCGGCCCGCCTAAGCCCGGGATCGTTTGCCCCGGCCCGTTTAGGCCCGGGCCTGGCCCAGAATACAGCCTTATATCCAGTGTAGAGACTATGGGTTCATCTGAACCTATATCTTCCGCTCATACCCTATATTTTTGCCCAAAAACTCATAAAATATGTACAAATAATAAATTTTGAAACTATTAAATGAGATGGGAAGTGGTAGATTGCGAATCTGAACCCATGAAGTTCAAATTCTGGATCCGCCTCTAGACCCGTCGCCTGGAAAGTATATTGCTGGACTTTCTGTTGAAATGCCACCTCAAGGCTTCACTTAGACAAATTACTCAAGGCCTTACTGGAGAGGTGGACAATGGGTATGCAAGTGGTATAAATATAGTATCAGATAAGCAACAAGGATCTACCATTCTCAGTTTCAAAACATTCACCAATTCCTATGGTACGATCATGGTGCTTAAACCATTAGGACTATTGCAGATTACATTCTGGAAAGAAGAACTGAATGTGTGGAAAGTAACTTGGGAAGGACTAGATAATTGTGACATGTACTGTTTTAAAAATATTTCATATGAGTATTGATTGACTATGGTATAAGAGTCATTCTGCGTGCAACCTTGAACTTGAACAGTGGTGGGACAAACCTTACCTGAGGACGCTGAGTCTCTAAGGGGGTGTATGTAACACTCTAGGCGAATCCTACATCCACAAAATATGGGAGAGATGCTGGATATATAAGTAGACAAAACTTAGACTCTAGTGACGCGTTTTAATGCCGTGCGGACCTAGGCCAAAAGCGGACAATATCACTAGTGGGCTAGACTGTTACGATAATCCCATGTGATATTTATGAACTTGTGGTCCTTATGGCGTTTGTGATAATAATAAGTCTCCATTCTGTGATTGCTTGAGAGGATATATACCAAAATCAACTGAGGAATGGAGCAGAGGAAATTGGACGACTGGCTGTGTGAGGCGCACTAAACTTCTATGTGAAATCATTACAGTTGGCGTAGCTCCAAAGGGATCGAAAAATGCAAGTTCTTGCAGCTGAGTGATATGAAACTGCCTGATCACTACACATATTTGTATGATCAAAATGGTGCTCAGAACTGCGAAAAGTGTTGTCTGAATAACTGTTCATGTGCAGCCTATGCATATCCAGATAGAATTGACTGCATGGTTTGGACATCAGTGTTAGGATGTGATAATGTTGTAAAGTTGTAGGACTCTAGATATGCATAACAACCTAGTATAGTTGTACACGTTTTGTATATATTTGTTGTTATCTCAATTGTAACTTGCTAATATAAATACAAAGCCAGGAAGCAGCCAACGGTCAGCTTTGGCATTGTCAAACTCTTCTCTACTATTAGTCTTTGTCTCTCAAAACTTCTCTTTCATCATGGTATCAGAGCAAGGCGACACCACGGCTTCCTCCTCTATGAAATCGACCTTTGTTTCTTCTCTTGGTCTACCAGTTCCACCTCCAACTATTTCAAACATCAAAGGTTTTGTTCCAATAGAGTTAACTTATGTTAACTATCTCACATGGAAGAAAGTTCTTTCAACAGTATTCAAAAGTCACAATCTTCTTTCTCTTATTGATGGATCTATTCCATGTCCTGAATCAACTCATGAGGAATATCAACTATGGGTTAAATGTGATACAATTGCATTAAGCTGGATTAATGCAACATTATCACCCTCGGTACTTGATACCTTATTAAACTATGCCTGTGAGACTTCTAAAGAGGCGTGGGATACTTTAACCTCATTGTACTTGGATCAAGTATCTTCCTCTGCTATTCATCTTAAGTCAAAATTCCAAAATTTCAGGAAAGAATCTCTTTCCATGGAAGATTATCTTCAACAATTACATTCAATTGCCTGCTCTTTGCGTGCAATCGGAAAACCTATCACAGACGGAGATCTAGTCACTCAAGCTCTACAAAGGTTGCCTCCCTCTTATCGCACTTTCGTTTCCGGATTAAATGCCACAGGAACTCTTCCATCCTTTATCTCTTTGCGTCCTCTCCTACTCACAGAAGAGGCTCACATTAATGCAAATCCAACTGAAGATCATGGTGCACAAACTGCCTTACTTGCATCTACTAAAGATCAATTTACTTCACACGCTTCTACTGAAAAAGGTGGCTCCTTTGGATGAGGTCGAGGAAAGAACTTTAAAGGAAATCATAGCAAGGGCAGAGGATTCTCAAATCACTCTAACCAACAATCATTTTCTTGTTTTCGCTTCAACCATACTGCCTTGGAGTGTAGAAATCGATTCAACCACTCTTTTGCTGCAAATAATATTCCCAAATCCTTTGCTGCAATGAACGTGGAAGAGGTGCAACCTACAATTTGGTACCCAGATTCTGGCGCATCCGCGCACATGACGAATGACCCTTCAGTTCTCTCCTCGTCTACCCCATATACTGGATCTTCTAAGGTTATGGTTGGTAATGGTCATCTTCTCCCTATCTCTTCTGTTGGATCTTCTATTCTGCCTACTATTTCCAAACCTCTTCGTTTAAAAAATGTTTTATATGTTCCATTACTTGCCAAAAATCTTTTGTCTATACAACGTTTGTGTCGGGATAATGATTGTCTCATCGAATTCACGGACTCTGGATTTTTTGTAAAGGACATGAAGACCAACACGACGTTGCTCCACTGTGACAATATTGGCGCTCTTTATCCACTCTCTGTTGCTTCAACCAATGTTTCGAAAGTCGGCCTATCCGCTTCAGTTTCACCTGCTTCTCTTTGGCACCAACGCTTGGGACATCCTGGCAGCCCATCTCTTGCTTCTTTAGTTAATAGGAAATTAATTAGTTGTTCTTCTTCTTTTGGCAACAATAAAGAAGACTCTGATGTTTAATAATAATA